AGGAGGAAGCAAGGACCTTAACCCTGAAGCAGTTACTGATGAATAAAGCGACACCACCACCCCGTGTATTCCTGTCCCGTCTGAAAATAGTAAAACCCTCAAGGGAGATCAAATCATCATCAATTTGGGGGCAGAGCTTCGTCTCAGACATAGCGATGATATGGAAAGGACGCTGAGAATCCAGAAAAAATCTGACTCTCTCAATGTGAGCACGGATAGAGTTCACATTGAGATGACAGACCCTTAAACCGTCCGAACCAATCGTTGCTGCAGCAAAATCATGTTTTGGGAGGGAGCCTGATGTTGAAAGAGAAGTACCAGGAGAAGAAGAAACAGCTAGAGAGAGAGAGATAAGTTAGATGATTGTGAAAAGGAAGAGTTTATTAAGAGTCCCTCAAGAAGTTTTTTAGCTCATCGCACGAAGAGACGCGAGTAGCCGAGTCTTCCTTCCCTCTCTAATGAAGACATCACCGTCACGAATGAACGTGGCGAAGCCGTTGTTTTTCGCCGCATCCTTGACCGCACGACGAAGATTGTATAGATCCGAAGGGAGAAACTCGTTGATATTTATCAGGGCAGGACGAAACGGAACACTCGCACCAGCAGCAGCCACGAAATCAGTATCCAGCTTACTCGAGTGGAGTTTTCCTAGCCGAGCCTTAGCAACCACAATCTCATGAGCAAGCTTGGCTGACGACATAGTCACCACCAGGGAGGGTGGTCTACAGGCGTTCCCAGACATGCCAGCAGTCTCGCTAGATGTCCCAGCCGCTCTAGTCGCATCACCGCCAGTGACAACCAACTGCTTCGAAGCAAGTGAGCTAACAAGAGTAATATCACTTTGCACAACAGATGGAAGAACACCTCGCAGCACAGCAAACACCAGCAGCCTGATGTCAGCATTCACAGGATGTTCAAGGCCAGAAATCAGGACATCCGGCACAAGCTTAGCCCTCTCGGCGGGGGAGTGGGAGCATAAAAGGGCCAGTTAGCGAATCTAGTAAATATCAAAAACGCAGTCTGAACGGACACAGGGTAAACAAAGTCACCTGGCGCCTAAGTAGCAGCCAATTGTGACGAAGTTCGGATATTTAGAGCTCGGGTGGTACGGGTGTAGACAGACATCGCCAGTGGAAGAATCCCAATCGGAAAAAGTGTTACAACATAACTGGTGAGGAATCAAAACACTGAAAATGGTGCAACGAAGGTAGTATCATATAAACATTAGTTTTGTTAGTTTTCGATTGATGTCACAAACACATAGCGAATCATTACTGTAATTACTTCGTATCATCAATATTAAGGCGAACATATCGACATTCCACACTATTATGTGGTGTTTTGCCCCAAACTTTCTGTATTTTTTTGTTATCCCAAGTTTATCCCTGATATGTAAAAATTTAACCGTAGTAAACTGTAGCCTCCGCAACATCGTTTCGTAATTTTCCATCCTTTTAGATAGGTTTACGCCAATAAAATGCAAGTGACAGAGTATTACGAATAACGGTAAATATATGCTTTAGGTCCACCAAAAAACAAAAATCATCGAAATATTAATTTCTTTGACGAAAAATCCATTCTAATCCTCTCAGTTATCAAAAACAAGATGAAAGAAG